ATCGCAAACTGCGAAGAGGAGGAGAGAGAGAGAGAGAGAGAGAGAGAGAGAGAGAGAGAGAGAGAAAGAGAAAGAGAGAAAGAGACGAGGACGCAGTCGCCGCGGCCGTCGTACGCCTTGATGGCTCCTTTTAGAGTAATTAAGACGACCATGACACACTCGGAAACTACAAAATAGTATCGCGGACAAAGCGCGCCCGCTAAATTTCTCATTTGTACGTTCCACGCACAGGACGGTATTGTGCACATGAATTATCGTAATTAATTAATATACGGCGAAAAAATATCGATACGGCGAAATATCGAAATTCGACTAACGTGGTAATAAACGTCATCTCCAACGTGCATCTCCCTCGAAGGAGACGGAATTTCTTACTAGACAAATTCGGTCGTTAGAACATTCCGCTTCCTTCGACCAACACGCGTTTGGACCTCCATTAAGTTTGCCCCCCCTCACAGCGAAAATAAAATATCTAATAGGTGCAAAATTAAGTGCTAATTAGGTGCTAATTAGGTGCTACAATCCCGAATTTGGTACTCGCGCGGTTTGGCAGAAAAGAATAAAATAATGGGGGGGGCGGTTAGCTTAACGTTAACTTAGCCCCCCCTCCAAATAAGAAAAACGTACAACCAACACGTAAAATCGAAAACAAATTATGTTAAAATTAGGTGTTTAAGCTAATTAAGTGCTCCAAGAGATAATTTACGGATATTAAAAATATATCGCCGTTCAAAAGTTATAACAAAATAAATATGTCATCTCAACGATGACTATCCAAGAGAGAACTTATATTATAAAATTAGGTGCTCTCGTGGCTATGGTATCAAATTAAACGTCCCTTCACGCACTGTCGAGATACCTAAGCGCCGAATAAAGTGCTCGTCCCGTTTTGCAAAAATTCGCACTTAAATGTCGGCGGGCCATGCAGGTGACAAGAGAGGACCTATCTTAAAAAATTAGATATTCTCACGATATGGGTCTCAAAACACTCGTTTCTTTTATGCATTATTTACATATTCAAACGCCGAATTAGGTGCTCGTCCCGTTTTACAAAAATTCGCACTTAAACGTCGACTGGCGATCCAGGTTACAAGAGAGAATCTGTCTTAAAAAATTAGGTGTTCTCACAATACTGATCTCAAAACACTCTTTTTTATGCATTGCTTAGATATTCGAACGCCGAATTAGGTGCTCGTCCCGTTTTGCAAAAATTCGCACTTAGACATCAGTAGGCCATACAGGTCACAAGCGAGAACCTGTCTTAAAAAATTAGGTGCTCTCACGATATGGGTCTCAAAACACTCGTTTTTAATGCATTGTTTAGATATCCAAACGCCGAATTAGGTGCTCGTCCAGTTTTACAAAAATTCGCACTTAAACGTCGGCTGGCGATACAGGTTACAAGAGAGAACCTGTCTTAAAAAATTAGGTGCTCTCACGATATGGGTCTCAAAACACTCGTCTTTTGATGCCTTGTCGAGATATCTAAATGTTGAATTTGGTGCTCACGTAGTTTGGCAGAAAAAAAATAAAATAATGAGGGGGAGGGCTAGCTTAACGTTAACTCAGCCACCCCCAAATGAAACAGACCTTTAACCAACACGTAAAACCGAAAACCAATTATGTCAAAATTAGGTGCTTATTAAGTGCGCCAAGAAACAATTATGAGATATTAAAAATATAACGCCGATCAAAAGTTATAACATAAAAAATATATCATCTCAAGGATGACTATCCAAGAGAGAACTTATATTATAAAATTATTATTATTATTTATTATATTGTCTATTATATAATGTCTATTTTTAAAACCGTTGCTTTTCCATACATGCGTGGGCCATTTTGACACACCATTTATTACAGTTGCTTATCGTTTTTGAAAAAATGTTTCTATTAAGTTTTTATTTCCTCTGTGGAATTGGATAATTTTTGTTAAATAGTGTTTTCCTAATCATAATCGACTGGATTGGGTAATTATTAAAATGATTCAACTTATATATATATTTCATTATAAATCATATGTACTTAAGAAATATTACATATGTCCTTTGGTACATATGATTTATAATGAAATATATATATATAAGTTGAATCATTTTAATAATTACCCAATCCAGTCGATTATGATTAGGAAAACATTTTTTAACAAAAATTGTCCAATTCCACGGAGGAAATAAAAATTTAATAGAAACATTTTTTCAAAAATGATAAGCAACTGGAATAAATAGTGTGTCAAAATGGCCCACGCATATATGGAAAAGCAATGGTTTTAAAAATAAATAAACATTACATAACAGACAATATAATAAATAATAATAATAATTTTATAATATAAGTTCTCTCTTGGATAGTCATCCCTGAGATGATATATCTTTTATGTTATAACTTTTGATTGGCATTATATTTTTAATATCTCATAATTGTTTCTTGGCGCACTTAATTAGCACCTAATTTTGACATAATTGGTTTTCGGTTTTACGTGTTGGTTAAAGGTTTGTTTCATTTGGGGGTGGCTGAGGTAACATTAAGCTAGCCCCCCCATTATTTTATTTTTTTTCTGCCAAACTACACGAGCACCAAATTCAACATTTAGATATCTCGACAAGGCATCAAAAGACGAGTGTTTTGAGACTAATATCGTGAGAACACCTAATTTTTTAAGACAGGTTCTCGCTTGTGACCTGCATGGCCTGCTGACGTTTAAGTGCGAATTTTTGCAAAACGGGACGAGCACTTAATTCGGCGTTAGGATATCTAAACAATGCATAAAAATACGAGTGTTTTGAGATCCATATCGTGAGAGCACCTAATTTTTTAAGACAAGTTCTCTCTTGTAACCTGTATCGCCAGCCGACGTTTAAGTGCGAATTTTTGCAAAACGGGACGAGCACCTAATTCAGCGTTTGGATATCTCAAGAATGCATAAAAAACGATTGTTTTGAGACCCATATCGTGAGAGCACCTAATTTTTTAAGACAGGTTCTCTCTTGTAACCTGTATCGCCAACCGACGTTTAAATGCGAATTTTTGTAAAACAGGACGAGCACCTAATTCGGCGTTTGAATATCTAAATAATGTATAAAAAACGAGTGTTTTGAGACCCATATCGTGAGAGCATCTAATTTTTTAAGACAGGTCTTCTCTTGTCACCTGCATGGTCCGCCGACGTTTAAGTGCAAATTTTTGCAAAACGAGACGAGCACTTAATTCGGCGCTTGGGTATCTCGACAGTGCGTGAAGGGACGTTTAATTTGATACCATAGCCACGAGAGCACCTAATTTTATAATATAAGTTCTCTCTTGGATAGTCATCGTTGAGATGACATATTTATTTTGTTATAACTTTTGAACGGTGATATATTTTTAATATCCGTAAATTATCTCTTGGAGCACTTAATTAGCACCTAATTTTAACATAATTTGTTTTCGATTTTACGTGTTGGTTGTACGTTTTTCTTATTTGGGGGGGGGATAAGTTAACGTTAAGCTATCCCCCCCCCATTATTTTATTTTTTTTTCTGCCAAACCGTGCGAGCACTAAATTCAGGATTGTAGCACCTAATTAGCACTTAATTTTGCACCTATTAGATATTTTATTTTCTATGTGGGGGGGCTAACTTAATGGAGGTCGCGTTTGGTCCGTTAATTAAACGCCGCTGACTTATCGCGATCGTTAAACAATCGTGCGCATCAGAGCTGAATTTTCGTTCGTGAGAAGCAGAAATTCTGTCTTCCGCAGCCAAACTGCGCTGGACTCGTCGCATTAATTCAAGCGATCCTTTTCTCCTCGCGATGTACTTCATTTTACTTAATTTATTTTATAAGATACACTTTATTTTGCGGGCCGTTGCGCGCCGCGTGTGCGCTATTCGTTTCCAAAGCGGATCTTCAATTAATACATCATCGGCTCGGCTCGACAGCCGAAAAAGAAAAGCGAGCGAGCCGATGCTATTGTTACGTAACCGCATAACACGTGGGATACTCGACGTTGCTGGTGGCGCGGGATGCGAGGCGCCTCTCAAAAAAGTATTAATCGGTGAAAGTATCAGACGCACCTGGTCTTCTCCTGGCCGGGCCGGATAATCGAGACGATTCGAAGTTTCGAAACCGCGCGCGAAGAGGGAAACGATGCCGGGGCGTGGGTGACTGCGAGAATTCGAGAGCGGGAGTTTCGCACCGCGGAAGAAGGACCTTAGCGAGCTTCCAGCTCGCCCGAGTGCTCTCTCTCGCCGATTTTTTCTCAAAGTTTTCGCTCGCTCGTAGAGAGAGAGAGAGAGAGAGAGAGAGAGAGAGAGAGAGGAGCTCGCTCCTCCGTCTGTTGAATATTTCCGCGCGGGGGCTCTTAGGTGTCGCGTTCGCGCGGGCACCGAGCGGATACAAGGCGAGAACCCGAGACGGAGTCCTGCCTGTAAAAGGCTCGCAAAAGGCGGAGGCGTCTCGGGAGCATGAGATAGGTTGTCGCCGCGATGCACGTCTACCTTTGCCTCGCGACGTCCTTCGGTCGAGAGAGCGAGTAATCCGATACAGCGTGAGAAAATGAATGCAGCCCCTGTGGGACAGCGCATTCATTGTCTCGCGTGCTTATTGTCGGATGCTTTCCGCGAAAGGAAACGCGCTCGGCCGCTCTCCGCCATTGGTTCCGTTCTCCCGCCGCGCGGGTCGCGCCATTGCTTTCGGGAGGGTTCATTAACAGCCCGAGGTCGTTCGGTGACGTCCGATCGTTCGCAACCCTTCGCGCTTCCCGTCCCGAGACGGCTCGGCTCGCGGAAATTACGCGCTCGCGAAGTCCTCGACGCGAGTTCCTCGATCGGGGCTCGCGCTTCGGGCCCTGACACACGTCGATTCGCCACTGCGCGAGCGTGGGCGTTCTTCGTAGGCATGAAACGCACCAGCTGACTCACTCACGCGTCCGCGGACGATCAGACGAGCGGACCGAGCGAGTGTGTGCCGTCTCTCCTGTGCGCGCTCGGCGGAATCAAAAGGCCGCGCTCGGCGGAATCAAAAGGCCGCGCTCGGTTCTCTCCTCTAGTGCGGTTTCGCGCGGCGGAACCGGCGGATTGTGTTTCCCCGTGGGCTGGCACGCGGATCTCCACCCGAAGGCTGCCCACCAGGTCGGGCCACCGGGATCGGGTCATCGCGATTATCGCCGGACGATGCGCGCGCGTGCGCGCGCGCGCGCGGAAAAACGGGCGCGAGTCAGCTGAGTGAAATTCGAGTGGACGATTCGTTTCCCCGACCGAGGCGGGTATAAATCGCGCGAACTGCGCGACGCCGGTAATGAATCTAATGGGAACGGAGAGATAAAAATAGAATTCCAGCGGGAATCGATCGCTGTGTGCGGAGAATAAATTTCTCTCACCGGTGGGAACCGGCGAGCGACGAGTCGCTCTCCCCGCGGGAAGTTAATTGCGCGAGTGTGACGTGTAACGGTGACGGTGCGTGAGTTTTGTGTACGGATCGAGAGGGGTGATCCGCGTTCCTCGGCGCTGTGGGGAGCGTGATCGCTCGTTTAAACTCATTTTCGCGGACGGGAACAATCGCGTCTCCGCAGTCCGTAGTAGCGTGTTCGCGCGAGCGCGGAATGATTCATCGTCAATTCGTCTCGAAAGTGCGTATCGATCGCGATTCTTTCCTCCTTATCGCTGTTCCTGGGATCTATAGCCGCGGTGTATAGCACAGCGAGGAGTCCTAGAAATAGAGGAGAATAGACAGACGGATAGAGAGGCAGAGGGAGAGAGAACTGTGTGAATGATACAGCTATAATTGGCACTGCAATTTCTCCGCGAGGCGGCGCGGAGCCGTGATTGAATCACCCGAAAACAAACCAAATCTCGAGTTTCCCGTGAAAGTGGCAAGAATTCCACCCCGCCGACTCGATCGAAGACAGATGTTGGCCCGGCGCCGTGACAGTGCAGTTTCGACGCGTTATCGGGAAGAGAGAGAGCGATGCGTTCTCTCCTGCTACGTTCGTCAGCGAGGGAGATAATATCGACCAACAAAGAGCGGAGTCGCGCTCGCAACGACGACGAAGACGACGACAACGACGACGACGACGACGACGACGGCGACGACGGCGACGGCGACGTCGTCACGAGATGTAACGAGAGCCGACGAACGGCGCGGCGCAAATATCAAAGCTATAATAACCCCGAAGTCGGTCGCCGAAATTAAAGTCATTCGTCGTTCCCTGTTGGACGCGTGCCGCCTATCGCCGTCCGGTCTCTGTCTCCCTCTCGTCCTTTTTCTCTCTCCTGGAGACGGACACTGTGTGCATACGCGCCCGCCGTGCACAAAGTTCCGACGTGACGAAGAAGCCAGCAACCGAGGGAATCCGAGATGGCGAGCGAGGTGATGCTGGCACCCACGCCGGCGCCCGGCGCTGCATCGTCCGTGCGGGAGATGGACGATGTCAGAGATATGGTTAGAAGCGAGACCGTCAGCACGATTTACGTAAGTCGTCCTGGCCGTGTATCTCGCGGGTCGCGCGAGATTCCCGAGATTCAGGACGTTCCCCTCGACTACTCCCCGCGAGCGAAGTCTTCGAGAAAGACCGTTAGCCCGATAGATGAACTATAATTATCCCCGATCAGGCAGTCGGAATGTCTTCTTTCGTCGGGCTCGTTATTATCTAATCGGGTCTCTTTTATTTTTGGACCTCTTCAAGGATACTGATACTGATACATGTACGTTCAACTTTTTTTTAATTCGAACATGGTTGACAAAGATATAATGAATAGTGCTGTGTGAACAAATATTCGCCACAAAATCTCACAAGAAAGAGGAACGTCTCGTCAGATGATTGACCGATGTCACCTACGTGTCGCTCCAAGCGAAAATCATTCTCTCGATTTGAATACATTAAGTCTCCGAAGAGGTTGAACGTCGCAGCTCGAGCTCGTTGAATCTTACCTGTGAGATACATGCCGCTTTATCGAGGATCTACCACGCGGTTGTCGAGGAACACATTATTTGTCGGAGAAAGACGCATGCAGACGTTGCATGCATCGGTTAAACTCGCGCGATTCCAGTGTCCTCCGTGCATCGTGATGCGTATTCTCGGCGCGGCGAAGGACAATCGTGCCAAGGACAAGATTTCACTCTCGACCTATCAAATGGTCGTCACGGCTGGTGAACAGCGACGCCGAGGAAAAACGCTGCGCGTCGCTTGGAATCCGTGGCGAATGTTCTTCGCGGGAGCGAAATATGCTCGTGACTTTACTCATCACTTTGCGTGTTATATAAAAGTATGACGTGCAGTCATCCGTAAAAGAAAGAAAACTTCATTTTGAATCGCGCGTGAAATGCCAAGTACCTGCTTCAGAGATCTCGCAGGAAAAAGAGAAAAAAAATCGAGTAAGCTGGAAAACTGCGTAGCTCTTCTTCACGTGGCAGAGTATTTAGAGTTTGAGTGAAAATTTCTTTAGGTTTTATAGACTTGTTTGAATTAGATTTTTTATTTCAATTATATTAGAAGATATTTCGATTACACATATGGCGATGGCGCAGAAAATCCCGCTTCGTTGTTAACACCGCGATGTGCTCTCTGTGCATTTTTCTCGATCGAATCGCGGAAGAATGAGGGCGTTATACTACGTAATGCGGCTTCCGCGGATCGCGTCCGCGCAATTTGCGACACGCTCCGGCGGCTTCTCAACGCGCTGGAAGTGTTGTCGACTCGTTGCACAACTAATTAATAGGTCGATCGCGTCTACGGTTCGCCGTTCGTTCGCGCGGATTTCACGGTTGTTATGAGGTCGGCACGCGCAAATTCCACGGCGACGACGGCGCGACTCTCGCGGTCGCGCACACGAGACACTTTTCCTTTCCTTTCCGCGTTCGAAATTTCTCTCACGCCGAAGAATCCCGGCGAATTTTGCAGCTCCGTATTTCTACACCCACCTTTCCTCGCGGTGCGCGCGTTCGATTCTTCAGGCAAGGCGTGGATTGTCGCGTAGGACGCCGCGGAATGACGCTCGACTGCCCACTCGATTCCGATTCGCGAGCGGAGACAACGAGCGGTCGCCGGATAAATCAGCGTCCGATCGTGCGAGACCGTAGTCCCTTGTTTGTGTAAATTGTAATTTACTGAAAGTCTGCCGGACTTTATTTTACCGCAAATTCGGAAACCCTTCGCGAGTTCGCTCGTCGTCTCCGCTCTCGAGACTTGCGCTCTTCGCGATTTCGCTCCTCACGAAATTTGCGTCAATGGTACCTTAATTCGCTGCCTCCCGCAAAGTTTCTCTTTATGTAATAATGCGACGCGATAAAGCGACATGACGTCATACGCGAGTTTTATGTAATCTCTATAAGTGGAGCAATCATTTTAAGTGCAAGTAATGCTGTCGACTAGACGTTCGTCTCTCGGAATTAAACCCCGATCCGTTGAAGTGGGTCTCGCAGACGTGACTAGTCAGGTTCAAAGTAGATTCGGATTTTTTTCGGCGATGTCGCTTCCGATGAGTCTTTCGTGTCGAGTTGCATTGTAGGACGAACTTTTAATTTCATCCCCCAACTTTCCACGCCTCTCGACTATGTGCTGTAAAAGAATTCTCAAGAGCTCGACGCAAAACTGGCCGCGGCGGGTCGCTCGATGAGATCGGCATGCGTTGACATTTCTCTTACGTTTTACTGCACGACGATATCGAGTAACCAAGTCACGTAATTTTATATAGGATGATAAAGCCGTGGAGTTGGAATTAATGGAAAAATAAATATCGCTGCAGAGGAACGTAGCTCGAAAGATGGGATTTTTCAGAATTAACCTCCACGTAGCGACCTATGAAAATGTGTCATGCAAAAGCTAGCTGCTTTTCCTCTCTCTCTCTCTCTCTCTCTCTCTCTCTCTCTCTCTCTTTCTCCCCTCTGCTCTCTTTGTTACTTTTATGACGTCCGTGGGCGGGTCGAAACATGAAAAGCGAGCGATTCCGTATTTGGCTGTTGTTCAATTCTTCGATCGACCTGCGCGCGTTTCGTCTCTTCTATCCCTGTGGAAGTCATACATCTCTCTTCATCCCTCGCTGCTGCGAGGCGGCATAAAAAATCAGCGACGTGTCGAAGGTGCGCGTACGATTCATTGCATAGGTGGCGAACGTAGTACATGTCGAGCGACGTATCAAAGAATGTGCGAGTGCGGATGGAGAAGGAGACGCGCCTCGAGATAGAGAGGGAAAGACGGAAAAAAAGGAGATAAAGGAAAAATAAATCGAGTGTCGTTACTATTCGGCGGCGGCAGGCTGCGTCGACGACGGCATGTGATGAAGGGCCTTTTTCCGGCAGGGTTAAGCCGCTTTCCAACGGCTCCCTCAAACTTCCACGTCACTCGAGTCGCGCTCGCGTTTTCTCTATTTCGAATCAACATCGCCACTTTGCGCGGCGACGCTGGCGAACGAGAGCTGGCGCTTGGCAGCAACTTGGCTCGAATAGAGTAATTAGCAATTCAACAGCGCGTTAAAATCATTTCCCGAGCTCGTCGAGACCGTTAAGACACCGCGACTCGAGCAGGTGGAAACCGTTAACGTTAACCGGCGACTTTACCGACGACGACGCATAGATTTCTCTCTCTCTCTCTCTCTCTCTCTCTCTCTCTCTCTCTCTCTGTCTCTCTCTCCCCAGAGTCGCGATCGCCGGTTTATCGTGTATGATAATTCGCCGGGAGCGAAAAATCCATGGACCGTCCGTTTATCCGCCCGAGTTATTTCCACGAATACCTGCCTGAAAATCGCTACGTATTTCGCGCTGCGAGCCAACCGCGTTTGCTGTTGCCACCCGCTGAACCGGTTTCCCTTATCGCCGGAATTTATCCGATGCAGCGAAAAGCAGCGGCGATCGACGCAATTTCATATTACTCGTGTCACGGATTACACGTCATTATTGATACTCCGCTAATCGATAGACCATATTTCCTCCCGGCACCCGGCCGGCAGATAAACGAGCCGTTGGATCTTCCGCCGTCCCGCCCTAACGCGTTTTTATCGTGGCCTTTTTTACCGAATAACATTCAGGGCATATTTTTGATCGATCGGAAACGAGGAGACAAAAAATATTCCACTGACGTGTCAACTCTCGTTCTGTCTGTCTCTCTCTCTCTCTCTCTCTCTCTCTCTCTCTCTCTCTCTCTCTCTCTCTCTCTCTCTCTCTCTCTCTCTCTCTCTCTCTCTTCCTCCCTCTGCAAACTTACCCCAGGCGTGCACGCGTGCGTGCGTCGTACAGTTTCGGAAGTCGGACATCTGCCGACCAATCTTATCTCCGCCCTTGCCTTATCCGCTGGAAGCAGCATTACCCGGTCGAAACTGAGATCGCTTTATCTACCTCTCCCATGTTGCGGTGTTTGCACGGTCTTATCACCGCCTTATCCGCGCGGCGAGTCACCAGAATGAACACGCGCGCGTAAACGCATTTGCATATCCATTGAGGAGGCAGGCGCGATTACGACACCGTCCCTCGCCGCCATTATGTGACGCGCGCGCGCGCTCGAGATGCACCCGCTGTATTTTGCCGCTGCTGGTACAGTGGTACTTCGCCTTTGTTCGGATCGAGTGGCGATCGGCCATTATGCAAATCTAATTGTCTCGCGCTCACTCGTAATCGCGCGCGCGAGCGCCGTCGATTTTCGCGCGAAATGCGCGCTCGCGTTCCTGCAATTCTCTTCGCGACGCCGCCGCGAGCCCGCGAGGAGACGGCACCGATGCGGATGCGCGTTGCAGTGGGAAAACGACGACGACGATGACGACGTTGGTAGTGAAACTCGGCGGTAAACGTGATGCAAATGTCAATAGGCGCACCGCGATATGCGACAGGAAATACAGGGCACGCCCTGCGACTAATGTCACAACCTTCGACACCGCCATTCTTTCGGCTGAATTTTTTAGACGTCCCATGGTGCGTGCCCTTGTGCTCGCTGCGCTCGTATTTAAACGCTCTTCAAGGCACACACATCGCACAAAGTACACCATGTCGAGAATAAAGGACGAATTGAACTGTGGTGGCGTCAAAGTGGCGTCTCTCGCGAGTTTTAAATCACCTTACTTATTTGGTCCCTTCCTTCCTCCCCCCTCCTCTCTCTCTCTCTCTCTCTCTCTCTCTCTCTCTCTCTCTCCCTCGCCTCTTATTATAGCGTATACACGCCGCGATCGTAGGACGTGCAACTGCTGTGTGCTGCTCGTATTTTTGCGTTAGAGTTAATTAAAGTTGCTAGGTGCCGCGGTAGATTTATTATTACAGCCGCGTTGCGGATTAATCGGCTGCCGAATGACTCGGCGCATTTCGATGCGCCGTGCCCGTAATTGGTTTGCTTTACACGAGATCACCATGAGGATCACCGCGAGAGCGCGAAAGTGCCGGAGAATCCCGCATGAATAACCAGTGAGCAGCGGCCGGCTCGCGATTCGCGAAAATCACCAGTCCGATTTCGTGAGATCACTACGGCGAATCGCGAACGATGAGAACCTCTC